GGCGTCACTGCTGGGGCGGCGGCGGCGGCGGCAGCGGGTGCTGTTGGTGCCATTGCTGGTGCGGCTGGTGAGAACTCCCCCGATGGCGTTGACCCCGCCGACTTCGACGTCGTCTCGGGCGATGTGGCGCTGCCGCTGCACGTCCGCAATCTGCTGCTGGCCCCTGCAGACGGTGAGACGAGCAACCCGCTGACGGACTTCGGCAAGGAGCCCCGTGTGGGGCCGTACCGCGCGATTGTCGACGTCCCCTTCTGCTACGTGCCGCAGTTGGGCCGGCACCGCAGCCGTCCCATCTCTGTCACCCTCGATACGCCGCTGTTGGAGGCACTGCGGCTGATACTGCTGCACGACATTGAGTGCATTGCCGTTGTATCGGAGGAACAGATCATCGTCGACGTCATTGACCGCAGCGACGTGGTGCGCATCGAGGATCAAGGCGTGTACGACACAAACCTCACCGTCCGCGCGGCGCTTGGTGGCAAGGTGAGCAGCAAGATATGCGTCTTCCACGCGAAGGACGCACTGCGGGATATATTCATTCACTTTGTGCGGCAGCGGGTGAAGGAGCTTTTCCTCGTCGACCCCGATACGGACAAGCTGCTCGGCCAGCTAAACGTTGGGGAGGTGGTGTTCTTCTTAGTGTTTGGCGTTACCACGACAAGTGGCAATGGCACAGCCCCGTCCTCTCTCTCCGCATCACAGAAGGGCACCGCCCCGTCTGCTGCTCCTAGCGCTGCGAGGTAGATCAAGGTGGGGCATTCGTTCACGCTGTCTCAGTGTGTATGTACATGTGTGTGTGTGTGTGTGTGTGTGTGTGTTGGCTGGAGAGGAGAGGAGGGGAGGGGAGAGTATGGGAAATAGTGAGCATGCCGGTGGGTATGTGCGCGTGGAGGAGACGATTCAGCGTGTCTTATGCTTTGCTTCTGCTCCGTCGTATGTTCTCACTACCTGCGGTTTCCCGCGGAGGTACCACTATTGCTATCACTACAACTGCCTTTGGCGTTGTTTTTATGCTGAGCATCATTGTTTTGTGATTTTTTTTCTTGTTTGTTGGTTTGATTGTTTTTCCTCTGGCTGTGTGTGCTGTTGCCGCCTGTTTTCATCTGTGGAAGGGTGCGAGGCCCCCCTTGTTGCTCTCTTGTTGGTTATCGGGTGCACGTTGATGGCGTTTGACGTCCTTTCCTGATCGATCGTGCTGCTTTTGGTCGGCTTGACTGTGTTGTGTGGCTGG